GGCCAGCAACTCTCAGCAGAGAACACCCCCTAAGAACACCCCAGAAAAAAGTTGAATCCATCCAGCCCCACCCGCCGTATTCCAACCAACAAGCCCCTCCAAACCACACCAGCCCACACCATGCGAACCACCCACCTCTCACTACTCGCCAGCCTCCTCCTCTGCACCGGCGCCCAAGCCGACACAGGAAAACTCCTCCTGACCGGCGGCGTCAGCACCATAGAAGGCCCGGCCGGCGGCGGCCTGTCGCCCTGGGCCGTGATCGGCAGCAACGCCACGGCGGACGAAACCGGCGGCTCGGCCTACCTGACGCACGTGGGCACCCGCGACTACGGGCTGAACATCTACGGTGCGGCGGTCGGCATCCATGACCGCTACGAGCTGTCCATCGCACGGCAGGACTTCAACACGCGGGATACCGGCGTGGCGCTGGGCCTGCCGGGGTTGCACCTGAAGCAGACCATCGTGGGCGCCAAGCTGCGCGTGCTGGGCGATGCCGTGCTCGACAGCGACACATGGATGCCGCAGGTGGCCGTCGGCGTGCAGTACAAGAAGCTGGGCTCGACCGGGCTGGACGGCACGCTGGCCGCGCTGGGCGCCAAGCGCTCTGGCGTCGACGTGTATGTGAGCGCCACCAAACTTTTCCTGGGCCAGGGCCTGCTGGTCAACGCCACGCTGCGCGCCACCAAGGCCAACCAGAACGGCCTGCTGGGCTACGGCGCGACGCTGGGCGGTGATGAAAACCGCTACAGCCTGCAGCCGGAGTTTTCGGTCGCTTACCTGGTCAGCAAGAACATCGCCGTGGGCGCCGAATACCGCTTCATGCGCAACAAGCTGGAAGGCGCCGGCCGCGCCGCGGGCCTGGGCAACGGCCTGCGTTCGGAAGACTGGAAGGACATCTTCATCGCCTGGGCGCCGACGAAAAACCTCTCGCTGACCTTGGCCTATGTGGACCTGGGCGTGATCGTGCCGGCCACCACGGCCAGCCGCAGGCAGTCCGGTTACTACCTCTCGGCCCAGGTCGCCTTCTGAGCCTCGCCAATCATTCAAGGAGCATCATCATCATGAAAAAAACACTGATCTGCCTGGCGCTTGCCGCGGGCAGCGCGTTCGCGCAAACCGCGCCCCCACAAAACGACCAGCTCTACAAAGCCTTTGGCGAAAAGCCCGGCCTGGTGGCGCTGATGGACGACTTCATGGTCCGCCTGCTGGCCGACCCGCGCACCGGGCCGCACTTCAAGCCCTCCAACCAGCAGCGCGTGAAGGAACAGCTGGTCGATCAGCTCTGCACCCTGAGCGGCGGCCCCTGCGTCTACAAGGGCGCGGACATGAAAAGCGCGCACGCCAACCTGGAGATCAAAAAGTCCGACTTCCATGCGCTGGTCGAAGTGCTGCAACAAAGCATGGACGCCAAGGGCATTCCCTTTCGCAAACAGAATGAAATGCTGGCGCTGCTGGCGCCCATGAACCGCGACATCATCACGCCACCGGAAAGCGCGGCCAAGCCATGAAGGTCGCCGCGCAGGGCATGGCCCTTTCCGTGCTGCTGGCGTTCAGTGCGGCGGCGCAGGCCGGCAAGCTCGTGGTCTCGGTGCTCGACAAGGACGGCAAGCCGGTGCAGGACGCGGTGGTGGTGGTGACGCCGGCCGGCAAGGGCGCGGCACCCAAAAACCCGCTGCCTACACAAGCCACCATCTACCAGGAAAAAATGCAGTTTGTCCCGGCCGTGACGGTGGTGCCCGTAGGGGCCAAGGTTAACTTCGTCAACAACGACCCCTGGGACCACCACGTGCGCAGCTCACCGGCGGGCATGGGGCAATTCAGCGCAACAAACGCGGGTTTTGAAATGCGGCTCGAAGGCAAGGCCGAGGGCAAGCCCGCAAAAGCCAGCGAGGTGACGCTGGACAAGGCCGGCGTGCTGGGCGCAACCCTGCTGGGCTGTTTTATCCACGGCTCCATGCGCGGTTACCTCTATGCCAGCGAATCGCCCTGGGCTGTGAAAACCGGTTCAGAGGGCATCGCAAGCTTTGAAGACCTGCCCGAGGGCGCGGCCCAGGTGAAGGTCTGGCAGGCCGAGCAGCTGATAGACATCGCGCCGCAACAGCTTACGGTCAGTGCAGTGCCGGCCAAAACCACCCTGCAGCTCACGGTGGTGCCGCGTCGGCGCAGGCCGTGACAGGGATCGCTAGCTTCGGCTGTCGTCTTTCCCGGAATCCGGGCCCAGCGGCGCCAGGTCGGATGAATAAACCCGGTCGCCGATCTGCAGCGCCCGTCCCTGCTCCCAGGCGGCTTCAAAGGCCGCGAGCTCTTCCGCCGTGGCGCGCTCATGGCGCCGCACCGGCGGCCGCGAATCGCCCGCGTCCTGGCCTGCGGGCAGGGGGACCGGCCGGCTGGCCGAGAAGCCCTGGATCTGCTCATTGACCTGCCAGTACACGCCGCTGACCAGCAGGTCGTAGCGCGTGGCGGCATTTTTGGCGATGGCCGCACCCACCTCGGCCAGCCGGGTGGGCGCGCCTTCCCGGTTGTCCAGGAAGTCGGTGGAAAGGTCCACCAGGACGAAGTATTGGTGGCCTCGCTTGTCGTTGCGCACCACGCGGAACTTGTAGCTGGCCGACAAGATGCCGTGGGCCTGCATGGTGACCTTGATGGCCTCGAAGAGCATCTCGCGCCGGAACGCCATGCGCTCGTCAAGGTTCATCTTGACCGGCCCCGTCTCAGGCCCCGTGGCGCCGTGCTTGGGGCTCTTGCTGGCGCTGAAAAGGTTCTTGAGCACGGACATCTCGGGACTCGCTTTTTCAGGCGCTTTTGGCGGTGAAAAACACGTAGTCGGCGGTATAGCCTTCCTTGACGCGTTTGCCGGCGTCGGCCGATGTGGCGCAGCCTTTGGCCGGCGCATTGCCGCCTTCGGTGTTCAGGCGCTGCACGCTGGTGACGGCAGCCATCTTGCCGGGAGTGCCGGCGGATTTGGCCGTCAGCAGCAGCAAGGGGATGTCCGCGGGACGCTCCGCGTCGGCGCGCGCTTTGACCGTGCCCACGGTCTTGCTGCCGTCCAGCGCGGCCCAGTTCGGGCCGGCGCCATGCGTGCCGACTTTTTCGTCTTTCTGGTTGAAGAGGTCGGCCTCGGGCGCGACAAACACCCAGGCCCAGCCGCCCTTGTCGGAGGCGCGGCATTCATAAATCTGCGAGCCTACCGCGTGCCAGGTAAAGGCCGCGCGTTCGCTGTCGGCGGGCTTGAGCGCGGCGGGCACCGGCTTGCCGCCATCCATTGGTGCGGCCGGGCCGCCGGCGCAGGCGCTCAGCAGCAGGCCGGCACACAAGGCGGCGGCCGCAAGGCCGGTGCGGAACCCGGGTCGGGTGGCGGTTGCAATCGTTGTCATGGCGATCTCCTGGGAGGAGGCCTGCAAATGTTGACAGGTCTCCGGGTTAAAAGAAAGTAAAAAAGACAGTAAAAAAACCCCAACAAATCCCACGACCGAAGGGGTCGCAAGCCGGCGCGGCGTCCGGCTCACCAGGGACAAACGACGGCAAGCACCAATTGGATGCAGTTTTTTTTGAAAAAAATGCCATTCCCGGGGATGTTTTGCCGCCTGGGCCTAACTCCCTATACTCAGCCGCATGAAGCTGGCCCCCGACATGGACCCCCGCAGCCTGCAAGCCCTGATTGCCGGCGCGGCGCAGGGCGACCATGCCTGTTTTGCCAAAATTTATGAACGCACCCATACGCATCTGTTTGGCGTCGCCGTTCGTATATTGGGACAAGGACAGGCGGCCGAAGATGTGCTGCAAGAGGCGTATGTGAGCATCTGGAAAAGCGCAGCCGGCTACCGCAGCGAGGTGGACGGCCAAACCATTCAACCCATGACGTGGCTGATCGCCATCGTCCGCAACAAGGCGCTGGACGCCTTTCGGGCACGCGCGCGCCGCAAGGAAAGCGAACTGCCCGAATCGGGCGACGTGGATGAAGAAGACAGCGAAAGCACTATGGCACCCGCCCCCAGCGCCATGCAGCTGCTGGAGCAGGCCACCGAAGCCCTGCATATTGCAGGCTGCATGAACGCGCTGGAAGGCAGCCACCGGCAAAGCCTGGCGCTGGCCTATTACCAGGGCCTGTCGCACAGCGAGGTGGCCGCGCAGATGGGGGCGCCGCTGGGTTCGGTGAAAGCCTGGATACGCCGCGGCCTGGAGAAACTCAAGGGCTGCCTGGCCGGGCAGGGGGTGGTGGCATGAGATACACCCACCCTGAATTGCTCGAGCACCTGGCCTCCGCTTACGTGTTGGGCACGCTGGCCGGCGGCGCGCGGCGGCGCTTTGAACGCCTGCAGCGCGACCGCGCCGACGTGCGTGTGCGTGTCGCCCAATGGGAGGCGCGCCTGGGCCAGCTGGCGATGTCGGTGCCGGCGCATCAGCCTTCACCCCGGGTGTGGGCCGCAATCGCGGCGCGCACGCAGCCCGCAGGCACGCGGCATGCGCCGCAGGGCAAAGCCGGCTGGCTGGGCTGGCTCAAACCGGCGGGCTTTGGTGTTGGCGGCCTGGCAGCGGGCGTGATCGCGGCCAGCGCGTTCTTTTTGGCCATGCCCACCTTGTTCATGTCCAGCGACCAGCTCGCGATGCGCTCGGGCGAACGGCTGCCGCAAAGCTATGTGGGCCTGCTGACCGACGCCCAGGGCAACGGCAAGCTGCTGGTCAGCTCGCTGCGCCACGGCAAGACCATGACGGTCAAGGTCATAGGCCCGATCACGCCGCCCGCCACCGGGAAGCTGGTGCTGTGGGCCGTGCCAGCCAGCGGCCCGGCGTTTTCGCTGGGCACGGTGCCGACCAGCGGCTCGGCGGTGTCCATGCTGCCCGACACCTCGGAAAAACTGCTGTCCAAGGTCGGCAAGCTGGTGGTCACACTGGAAACCGAGGCCAACCCGGCCAAACCCGGCGAGACCGTGGTCTTCAGCGGCAATTGCGCCAAGCTGTGGTGAACAGGCCGGCGCGCGCAGTGGCGGTTTTCTTCACGGTCCTGCTGCTGGCCTACCTGGCCATCTGCGCGGCGCTGTTTGTGTACCAACGTTCCCTGATCTATTTCCCGCAGCCGAAATCAGGGGATGCGGCCACGACGGTGCATTTCCAGGTCAAGGATGCTGAGCTGGCGATCACCACCCGGCAGGCGGCCGGGCCCAAGGCCATGGTTTATTTCGGCGGCAACGCCGAAGACGTTTCAGCCAACCTGCCGTCTTTCTCGGAAGCCTTTCCAGGCCATGCCCTCTACCTGCTTCACTACCGGGGCTATGGCGGCAGCAGCGGAAGCCCCACCGAGGCGGCACTGCAAAGCGATGCCCTGGCCTTGTTCGACCACGTGAGCAAGACGCATGCGGACGTCACCGTGGTGGGAAGAAGCCTGGGCTCGGGCGTGGCCGTGTGGGTCGCAAGCCAGCGGCCGGTGTCCCGCCTGATCCTGGTGAAGCCTTACAACAGCCTCCAGGAACTGGCCGCGCAACGTTTTCCCTGGTTTCCCATCTCCTGGCTGCTGGTCGACAAGTTCGAATCCTGGAAGTACGCGCCCAAGGTCACGGCGCCCACGCTGCTGATCGCCGCCGAGCATGATGAGGTCATTCCGGCGGCCAGCACCGGCAAGCTGCATGCGCGCTTCAACAAGGGCACGGCCGCGCTCAAGATGTTGCCGGGGACCTCGCACAACACGGTTTCGCAGCATCCGCAGTACCTCGCGCTGTTTCAATCGATGCTGTGACCTCGGCATTCCCTGGTAGACATGGATCACACCGCATTCACGACCCAGGGCTTTGCGCTTGTTCCCCAGGTCTTGAGCACCGCCGAATGCGAGTCGGTCGCTTCCCGGCTTGCGGGTGTTTCGCCGGACTCGGCGGGAACGCGCGGCCTGCTGTCGCAAGCCTGGTGCCAGGCGCTGGCGGCAACCATCCGCCGGCATCCGTCGCTGGCGCCCTTGCTGCCGGCTGATTTCGCCGCCGTCCAGTGCACCTGCTTCGAGAAGTCGGCATCACGCAACTGGCTGGTGCCGGTACACCAGGACCTGAGCATTCCGGTGGCCGCCCGCGTGGCGTATGCCGGCCTGGGCGGCTGGTCCGAAAAGGAAGGCACGCTGTACGTCCAGCCGCCGGTCGAACTGCTACAGGAGCTGGTGGCACTGCGTTTGCACATCGACGCCTGCGGCGCCGAGGATGGCCCGCTGCGGGTCGTCCCAGGTTCCCACCTGCAGGACAAGATGGAAAAACAAGCTGTAGCGGCGGCCCGCCAGGCCCAGGCTGAAGTCATCTGCACGGCGGAGCGGGGAAGCGTGATGGCCATGCGCCCGCTGCTGCTCCACGCCTCTTCCAAATCCACGGGAAACAGCCGGCGCAGGGTGTTGCACTTCTTGTTCGGGCCACGCACACTGCCTTTCGGCCTTCAGTGGCCGCAGGCGGCCTGAGCCCTTACAAATAAATACGAGTTCCCCGCATCCGTTTTCGACGTTCCGGCGTTTGTCTTAGGTGCTGATTCGCAGCGCATCAACTCAGTCAGTAAGCAAGCAACATTCAAGGAGCCCGACATGAACGCTTTTTCCATCCGCAACTTCATCGCCCTGCCCGTCGTCGCCTTGGCCCTGGCCGGCGCGGCCATGGCAGCCGACATCGAAACCACGCCAGCCAAAAACGTCCAGATCGACGACTTCGCGGCCGGCAAGAAGGCCATCAGCGCCAAGAACTGGTCCGAGGCCGTGAGCAACTTCAACAAGGTCGTGGCCAAGGACCCGAAGAACGCCGACGCCTACAACTACCTCGGTTATTCGAATCGCTGGCTGGGCAAGTACGACGAGGCCTTTGCCGCCTACGGCAAGGCCCTGGCACTGGACCCCAACCACAAGGGCGCGCTGGAATATTCGGGCATCGCCTACCTGAAAACCAACCAGAAAGCCCAGGCCGACGCCCAGCTCGCCAAGCTGCAGGCCATCTGCGCCGGCTGCGAAGAAACCCGCGACCTGGCCAAAGCGGTTGCCGACTACAAACCGGCTGCAAAGTAAGCGCCGCTCAAAACCCTCCCGGCATCGTCGTGCTGCCGGGAGGGTTTTGCGAGTTGCCTGAAATGCACGGCTTCCGGTGACCCGAAAGAGACAAAACAATGACGAATGCCGATCGCCTCAAATACCTGCGCGTTGCCCTGACGCTGACAGGGCTGATCTTTATTTTTGCGCTGTGGCCGCTCACCATCGTCTGGCCTTCCGGCTGGGCGTGGCATGCGGAGGGCCGTTCGCATTACCTGGAGATGATCCTCGGCCTGTACGCAACGCTGGGCGTCTTCCTTTTGCTGGCGGCCCGCAACCCGCTGCTGCACCGCAGCCTCATCTGGTTCACCGTCTGGTCCAGCGTCGTGCACGGCGGGATCATGGCGGTGCAGTCCTTCACCGGCCACCACACCATGGGCCACCTGTGGGGCGATGTCCTGGCGTTGTTTGTGGTGGCGGCCGTGTTGGCCGCACTCATGCCTCGCGAAACCTGAAACGAAAGAACGCCATGACACACCCCACTTCGCGCATGCTGCCCTCCGCCCTGTTATTGCTGGCCGGCCTTGCCTTCTCCGCCTGGGCCGGCGCCGCCAACCTCTCCGTACTGGTGCTCGACAAGGAAGGCAAACCGGCGCCCGACGCGGTCGTGGTGGTCGTGCCCTCGGCCAAGACCGGCGCAGCCCCCACCCCGCTGCCCGGCCAGGTCACGATTTACCAGGAAAAGATGCGCTTTGTACCGGCCGTCAGCGTGGTGGCCGTGGGCGCGAAGGCCCAGTTCGTCAACAACGATCCCTGGGAGCACCATGTGCGCGCCTCGGCCGCCGGCGCGGCGCAGTTCAATGCCGCGGCGGGCGAAGGCTTTGAGCTGCGCCTGGACGGCAAGCCCGAAGGCAAGCCGGCCAAAACGGCCGATGCGACCTTCACCAAGGCCGGTGCCGTGCTGCTGGGCTGCCACATCCATGGCTCCATGCGCGGCCATGTCTACGTGAGCGAATCACCCTGGGCCGTGCTGACGAATGCCGAGGGTGTGGCGCAGCTCGCGCAGCTTCCCGAAGGCGCGGCGCAGATCAAGGTCTGGCATGCCGACCAGCTGATAGACATCGCGCCGCAGGCTTACACCGTGACCGCCTCGCCGGGCAAGCTGACCCTGCAACTCAGCGTGGTGCCGCGTCGCCGCCGGATCTGAGGGAAGAAAGGCGGCACGCCGCCGCAGCCATGACGACACAAGCCTGACATGTCCGGCGGTTAAAAACCGCAGACATCAATCATCAGGATACGTTTCATGCTGCATGCCAATCGCCGCGGTTTTGTCATGGGCCTCGTGGCCACCGCCTCCCTCACCGCGGCCAATGCCCAGGGCCAAAGCCCCGCCGCCGCCCGGAGCCTGCCGCCCCTGCCCGCGGGCAGCGCGCAGGCCATGGCCACCGACCGCGGCTACTGGGCGGCCGTGCGCTCGCTCTACACCGTGACACCGAAAACGGTGAACCTGGAGAACGGCTACTGGGGCATCATGGCCGACCCGGTGCGCGGCGAGTACCAGGCCAAGACCGACATGGTGAACCGCGAGAATTCCTATTACGCGCGTTCGCAGTTCGACGGCGACGCGACCGAAGCCCGCAAGCTGCTGGCCGCCGCCGTGGGCTCCGTCCCCGGCGAAATCGCTTTCACGCGCGGCGCCACCGAAGCCCTGCAGTTGCTGATAGGCGGCTACAACAAGCTCGGCGCAGGCGACAGCGTGCTGTTTTGCGACCTCGACTACGACTCCATGCAGTACGCGATGAACTGGCTCAAGGACAGGCGCGGCGTGAACGTGGTCAAGTTCAGCATTCCCGAGCCCGCCACGCGCGAAGCCGTGCTGCAAACCTACCGGGAAGCCCTGGCCAACAACCCCAAGGCAAAACTGCTGCTGCTCACCCACGTCAGCCACCGCACCGGGCTGGTGATGCCCGTGGCCGAGATCGCCGCGATGGCCAGGGCCCGTGGCGTGGACGTGGTGCTGGACGCCGCGCACTCCTGGGGCCAGATCGACTTCAAGGTCGCGGACCTGGGTGTGGACTTTGTCGGCTTCAACCTGCACAAGTGGATAGGCGCGCCCGTCGGCCTGGGTTTTATGTACATCGCCAAAGGGCGGCTGGCCGATATAGACCGGGCGATGGCCGACGAGGACTGGCCGGCCGACGACATCCGCTCGCGCGTGCACAGCGGCACCTCCAACTTCGCGGCCCTGCTGACCCTGCCCCGGGCGCTGGCCCTGCATGCGGAAATCGGCCCCAAGGCCAAAGAGCTTCGCCTTCGCCACCTGCGCGATTACTGGGTAGCCCGCGCCCGCGAATTGAAGGGCATCGACATCCTGACGCCGGACCAGCCCGGCATGGCCGCCGGCATCACCTCTTTCCGCCTGGCCGGCAGGACGACACCGGACGACTACAAGGCGCTGGTGGCGCAGCTGCGCGACGGCTATGGCGTGCTGACGGTGCGCCGCACCGGCCTGGCCAAGGGCCCCCTGCATACGCGTCTCCCCGGCGCTCTACACCACCGAGGCCGACCTGGACCGGCTGGTCTCGGCCCTGAAAGCCCTGGCCTCGGCCTGAGGCACGGCGGCCGGGGCGGCCCGGCCTGTCACCAGGGCTTGCAAAAAACAGTGTTTTGCATCGACCCTGACGCCGTGCGGCCGTTGACAGAAGCTTTCACGAAACTTACATTGAAGCCTCGCACGGAGGCTTTATGTTTGACCCCTCTGACCCTTCCAGGCCCTCAACATCCACCCGGTCGCCGTACTGGCACCACATCACGCTGGCACAGCTGCAGCGCGTCAAGGACTGGCGCGAGGCGCAGCGCCCGGCACACCCGCTTGAATGCCAGCTCTGGGAAGTGGTGCTGACGGCCTGGCTGATGGGCTGGACCGGCTGGCTGCCGGCCTACGCCTTTGAGGCGGCCTGGGCCTACCCGCTGTGCGCGCTGGGCATCCTGGCGCCGAGGCTGTATGTCTATGCAAGGGCACGGGCGCACCTGGCGCGGCGTCTCAGGTGTGACTGGCTGGACTTGGTCGCCTGACTTAGAGTGGGGGCATGAACGCCACCACCCCACCCTCCCTGACCTGCTTCACCCTCAACACCACCGGCCACGTCGCCCACCTGTTGCTGAATCGCCCCGAAGCGATGAACACCATGCACCCGCTGTTCTGGCGCGAGCTGGACGCGGCGCTCACGCACATCCATAAAACCGGCGAAGCGCGCGTGCTGGTGATCTCCAGCACCGGCAAACACTTCAGCGCGGGCATGGCGCTGGAAACCTTCGGCAGCGGCATCGCGATGGACGACCAGAGCCCCGAAGGCCGCGCGGCCATCTTCGACCTGCTGACGGACATGCAGGCCACCTTCACCAAGCTCGAGACCCTGCGCATCCCGGTGATCGCGGCCATCCAGGGCGGCTGCATAGGCGGCGCGGTGGACATGGTGACGGCCTGCTGCCTGCGCTACGCCACGGCCGACGCGTTTTTCTGCATCCAGGAAATCAACATCGGCATGGTGGCCGACGTGGGCACGCTGCAGCGCCTGCCCAAGCTGCTGCCGCTGGCGGTCGTCAAGGAACTGGCCTACACCGGGCGCCGCCTGCCGGCGGCCAGGGCGCTGGGCTATGGCCTGGTCAACGAGGTGTTTGATTCAGCGGACGCCATGCTGGCCGCCGCGATGCAGTGCGCGAACGAGATCGCCGCCAAGCCGCCGGTGGCGGTGTGGGGCAGCAAGCAGGCCATCCACTATGCGCGCGACCACTCGGTGGACGACGCGCTCCGGCAAATGGGCTGGCTGCAGGGCGCGATCTGGAGCAACGCGCACGTGCGCGAGTCCGTGACGGCCATGAAGGAAAAGCGCGCGGGGCAGTTCCCGGGGCTTACGCCGCTCAAGAACTTCAGCGAGTTCGGGCAGTAACGTCTACCGACAAAACGACTTCACATCCTGATTTCTTCATCTGCGTGAATCTGCGTAATCTGTGGATAAAAGAATTCATCCGCAGATTTCGCAGATTTACGCAGATTGAAAACAAGACCTTGGTTGGCGTAATCCCCCGTACAACCTTATCACTGGCCTATTGACGCGCGGTGCGCACCGAAGCCGGCAGCGCCTGCGGATGGCTGGTGCGGAAGGGGTTGATGTCCAGCCCGCCGCGGCGCGTGTAGCGCGCATAGACCGAGAGCTTGAGCGGCTTGCAGCGCGTCCAGATGTCCATGAAGATGCGCTCCACGCACTGCTCATGGAACTCGTTGTGGTTGCGAAAACTCACCAGGTATTGCAGCAGGCCTTCCTGGTTGATCTGCGGGCCGGCATAGCGGATCTGCACGCTGCCCCAGTCGGGCTGGCCGGTGACCAGGCAGTTGCTTTTGAGCAGGTTGCTGGTCAGCGTCTCCTCGACCGGCGGCTCGTCGAATTCGGCGAACAGCAGCTCGGGCGCGGGCTGGTAGTGGATGCACTCCACGTCCAGCCGGTCCAGGTTCAGGCCGTCGAGTTCGTGCACCGGCTCGCGGTCGAACAGCTCGGGGCCCAGGGTCTTGATGCCGACGCCCATGCCCACCACGGCGTTGAGGTCGGCGCGTATGCGCTCGCGCACGTCGCGCGCGTCGGCGAAACGCGTGTTGTTGAAGCTGTTGAGGTAGAGCTTGAAGGACTTGCTCTCGACGATGTTGGGCGATTCGCAGGGTACGGTGATCTGGGCCAGCGCCACCTGGGGCTTGCCGCGCAGGTTGAGCCAGCTCAGTTCAAACGCCGTCCACAGGTCGGCACCGAAAAAAGGCGGCGTGCCGGTGACGCCGATTTCGGCGCGTTTGCCTTCGCGCGGGATGGGAAACAGCAGCGAAGCGTCGTACTGGTCGATGTAGGCCGAGGGTTTGCCGAGCTGGGATTGTTCTGGGGTGTTCATGGGCCTATTTTCGCCGCTAAGCGCAGGCAGCCGGCAATTCACTCGCCCAAACCCCAAAGCCGCAAAGGGCAGCGTCCGGGCCGCTGCCATCGGGTATTGCTCCTTCCCCCGCTGGGGGAAGTTGGGATGGGGGCCATCCCGCGCCTGATGGAATGGCCGGCTTCAGATCGCAGGCCGCCGAGCCCCCATCCCTGCCTTCCCCCAGCGGGGGAAGGAGAAAGCGATTGCCTTTTACGTAGTGGCTGCGGCCTTGAAATGGGGAATCAAGAGCGCAAGCAGGCGCTCCACCACACCGGGCGGTAAATCATGGCCCATGCCTTCAATGCTTTCAAAACGCGCACCCGGAATGCGCCTGGCCGTATCCTCGCCGCAGGCCATGGGCACCAGCGGGTCGGCGCGGCCATGCAGCACCAGCGTGGGCGCCGTCACCCTGGCCAGCGCCGCGGCGCGCGTGCTGTCGGCGGCAATCGCCACCATCTGGCGCACGACGCCCTGCGGGTGGAAGCTGCGCTGCGCCGCCGCGGCAACTTTCTGGCGCAGCTCGGCGTCGGGCGTGGGAAAACCGGGGCTGCCGATGGCTTTCAGCAGCCTGGCGGTGTGGTCCACGGCGGCCTGCACGCCCTTGCCGGCGGGCCGGCTCAGCAATATACGGGTCACGGCCGGGCTGGCTTCGGGCAGGCCGCGCGCGCCGCTGGAACTCATGATGCTGGACAGGCTGAGCAGCCGCGAAGGTGCGAGTACCGCCAGGCGCTGCGCCACCATGCCGCCCATGCTGACACCCACCACATGCGCCTTGGCGATGTTGAGCGCGTCCAGCACACCCAGGGTGTCGGCGGCCATGTCTTCGAGGCTGTAGGGCGGGCGTATGCGCCAGCCCAGGCGGAACTTGAGGCCTTCCCAGAGCAGGCTGGGCGTGCCCAGGTGGTCGAAGTGCTGCGACAGGCCGATGTCGCGGTTGTCCAGGCGCAGCACCCGAAACCCCGCATCGGCGATCGCCTGCACCATGGCCGGCGGCCAGGCGATGAGCTGCATGCCCAGGCCCATGATGAGCAGCACCACGGGCCGGCCTGTGCTGTCGCCGGGGTGGGTGTCTTCGATTTCGATGTCGATGTTGTTGGCTTTGATCTTCATGGTGGATTATGGTCTCGGCCACTAAGCACACTGATCATCCGGTTTTCAATCTGCGTAAATCTGCGAAATCTGTGGATGAATTCTTTATCCGCAGATTTCGCAGATTTACGCAGATGAAGAAATCATGACTTGAAGTCTTGCGTTTAGCGTATGAGGGTAAGGGATGAAGTTCAAATGAACTCTCTTTCGCGTAACCATTTGGTGACGATCCACTTCTCACCGGCTTTGACAGGCTCGCCGCCATGCAAGGTAAGGCTGGCCGGATGCGCCAGCGCGTAGCTGAAAAACACCGCACTGCCGCGCCGCGGCTCTACACGCAGGCCTATGTCGGGGAATACCGTGGCGCCGCCCTCCTCGGGCTCCTGCAAGTACATGATCAGGCTGGCCACACGCTGGCCGCCGCGCCGCAGGATGGCCGCGGTGCCGGGTTCGCCGGGGTCGAAGTAGTCGTAGTGCGGTTTGTATTCCGCGCCGCGCCGGTAGCGCAGCACCTGCAGGCCTTCGCCGTTCTGCATCGGCCAGTTCAGCAATTTGGCAATCCGCGTTTCGATACGGCGCACCACCTCGTTCTCGCCGCGCGTGTAAAACATGCCATGGCTGGTGCGGTCATGGTTCAGTTCTTCGCCGCCGGTGCGGATGTCCACGGTCAGCGAGCGCGCCAGGCGCGGCTCGGCCGCTTCCATCAGTGCCTCGCATTCGGCCGTGCTGAGCAGGTTGCCGAAGACCCAGAGCTCGGGCGCGCTGCGATGCTCGCTCACCGTCACCCATTTGTCGCCCGCGTCCACCATGGCGCCGGAGGCATCGGCCTTGACCCAGGGCACGGCCTGCGCGGGCTGCGGTATCGCGGCGACGGGCGCCGGCAGGCCCAGGGCCTGGTTGGCGGCGGCCGCGTGCCAGCCGGCATCCAGCAGCGCCTGGAACACCTCGTGCGGCGTGTAGCCGGCCGCGAGCTGCGCCGCCACCCAGTCCTGCATCTCGCGCGTGAGGGTCTGGGCTTGCATGGCGGGCTGAAGGTGATGCGGCCGTTCAGGCGGCCTGTGTGCGCCGGAACACCAGCCGGTCGGGTCCGGAGGCCTTGGGGTCGAAGCGGTAACCCTCGGTGTCAAAGTTTTCAAGCTTTTTCACCGTGGCGATTTTTTTCTCGATCGCGTAGCGCGCCATGAGGCCGCGCGCGCGCTTGGCGAAGAAGCTGATGACCTTGTATTTGCCGCCCTTGAACTCCTCGAACACACAGCTCACCACGCGCGCCTTGAGCGCCTTGCGGTCCACGGCCTTGAAGTATTCCTCGCTGGCCAGGTTGATGATGACGGGCGAGGTGTCGGCGGCGGCGCGCTCATTGAGGTAGGCGGAAATCTGCGAGCCCCAGAACTGGTAGAGGTTTTTGCCTTGGGGCGTGGCCAGCGCCGTGCCCATTTCAAGCCGGTAGGGCTGCATGCGGTCCAGCGGACGCAGCACGCCGTAAAGGCCGCTCAGGATGCAAAGATGGTCTTGCGCCCAATCGAGCTGCGCCTTGTTCAGTGTTTTGGCATTGAGGCCGCCGTACACGTCACCGTCAAAGGCCAGCGCGGCCTGCTTGGAATTTTTCGCGGTGAATTTGGGCGACCAGGCCTGGTAGCGCGCCACGTTCAGGCCGGCCAGCGCGTCCGACAGCTTCATCAGTGTGCTGATCTCTTGCGGGGTCTGGGTCTTGAGCACCTCGATGAGTTGCGCCGACTGGCGCGTGAACAGGGCTTGGGTGTGGGTGTCTATGTGCGGCGGTGTGTCGTAGTCCAGCGACTTGGCCGGCGAGATGAGGAACAGCATGCTTGGAGTTTTGGGGTAAGGGCGAAACCCCCACTTTACGACAGGCACAGATCGGCACAGACAGCTGCCACCAAAAAGCCTTAATGCAGGTCGCTGGCCAATGACGCCAATGTTTCCGCTGAAACTATCGTGTGCGCCGGGTAATGCGTATGGTCGCAGCCCAGCTTGACGCCAGCGCCAGCCTTGACGGCCGCGCACATAGCCGGGTCCAGCTCAAAGCGCACAAAGTGCACGGCCGAGGTTTTCTCGTCGTTTTCACGGTCCATGTCTTCATCGGCGATCGCGTAGACGCGGGCGTGGCCCTCGGCCTCGATGAACATGCGGTCCTCCACGCCTATCAGCCGCGCCAATTCACGCTTGCGCTCGTTGACGTCGGGGTACTCCAGCATCAGCGTGCCCTTCCAGTTGCTGCCGTCGGGCATCAGCGGGGCATAGGCTTCGATCTCCTGCTCTATGCCCTCCTCCTCAAATATCTTCTCCACGCGCAGCATCTCCTGGATCTGGTAGCGGATGCTGGTTTCGCTTTCGAACTGCAGGTTGATGTGCTCGCCCAGGCGCACGCTGCGCAGCTTGCGGTGGGCGATGATGGCGGCCTTGTTTTCCTTGCGGTATTTGCTGTAGGCCTCCAGCGTCATCAGGGATTCGCGGGTGATCTTTCCGGTGGTCTTCATGGCGGCTTCCTCATGGCTTACTTGAGGCCGTAGGCCGTGCGTATCAAAGTGAGCGGATGCTTTTGCGGCGGTACGCCCAGGCTGTTGACCTCAAAGCCCTGGGCGATGTGGTGGCCGCCCAGCGGGCAGTCGCTGCTGATGACATCGGGCAGGCCGCCGTCCTTGTGGCTGGCCATGGCCTTGAAGAGGGGCTTGCCGATCTTCATGGCCTGCTGGTGGTAGGGCACTTTGACGCCAAAGGTGCCGGCATGGCCCGAGCAGCGCTCGTGCGTGTGCACGCTGGTGCCGGGCACCATCTTGAGCATTTCCTCGGTCTTCTTGCCGATGTTCTGCACGCGGCCGTGGCAGGGTATCTGGTAGCTGATTTTGCCCAGCGGCGTGCTGAACTCCGTCTTGAGCAGGCCGTCGCGTTTGCGCGCCATCAGGTATTCAAACGGGTCCCACATGTGCTCCTTGACGAGCTGCACCTCGGCGTCATCGGGGTACATCAGCGGCAGCTCCTGCTTGAACATCAGGGTGCAGCTGGGCACGGCGCTCAGGATGGCGTAGCCGTCTTTGGCGTACTTCACCAGCACCGGGATGTTGGCCTCCTTGCTGGCGTTGACCGAGGCCAGGTCGCCGAGCTCCAGCTTGGGCATGCCGCAGCATTTTTCCTTTTCGACCAGCACATAGGGCACTTCGTTGTGGTCCAGCACCTTGAGCAGGTCATGGCCTATGCCGGGCTCGTTGTAGTTGATGTAGCAGGTGGAATAGATCACCACCTTGCCGGGCGTCTTGGCGCCGTCTTTCACCGCGTGCGGCGGTGATTCGGGCGCACCGGAGCGGAACTTCTTGGTGGCCAGGTCCGGCAGCCAGGCGTTTTTGTCCACGCCCAGCACTTTTTCCATCACGGCGCGCGCCGGTTTGGTCTTGTTGACCGCATTGGCCACCTGGACCACGATGGGAATGCCGGCGAACTGGCCGTGCACGTCGGTGGACGACAAAAACCTTTCCCCCGCGCCCACCCCGCCCTGCTTGAACTTGATGGCCTTGGCACGCAGCATGGTGTGGGGAAAGTCGAGGTTGAACTCGTGCGGCGGCACATAAGGGCACTTGGTCATGTAGCAGAGGTCGCACATATAGCATTGGTCGACCACCAACATGTAATCCTTCTTGTCCACGCCGTCGACCTCGCCGGTCTTGCTTTCGTCGACCAGGTCGAACAGCGTGGGAAAGGCGCCGCACAGGCTCACGCAGCGGCGGCAGCCATGGCAGATGTCGAAGATGCGCTCCATCTCGTGGAGGGCCGCGTCTTCGTTGTAGAAGTCCGGATTTTTCCAGTCGATCGCGTGGCGCGTGGGCGCCTGGAGGTTGCCTTCTGTGGCCATGGTCTTGTCTCTTCCATTGCTCCCTCGCCCCCACCGGGGAGAGGGTTGGGGTGAGGGGGGTCCAGCCAATGTGAAGGCAAGGCCCAATCGATCGCCTTTCGCCCTCACCCTAACCCTCTCCCAGAGGGAGAGGGAACCAGCAGCCTTAATCGACCAGTTCGGCGAGAGCCTTGGTGTAACGATTGGCGTGCGAGCGTTCCGCCTTGGCCAGGGTCTCAAACCAGTCGGCCACTTCGTCATGGCCTTCGTCGCGCGCGGTCTTGGCCATGCCCGGGTACATGTCGGTGTACTCGTGGGTTTCACCGGCCACGGCGGATGCGAGGTTGTCGCGCGTGGCGCCGAAGGGCATGCCGGTAGCCGGGTCGCCGCACTGCTCCAGCCATTCGAGGTGGCCGTGGGCATGGCCGGTTTCACCTTCCGCGGTCGAGCGGAACAGCGCCGCGACGTCGGGCTGGCCTTCAACGTCGGCCTTGTTCGCAAAATAGAGGTAGCGGCGGTTGGCCTGTGATTCGCCGGCAAATGCGGCTTTCAGGTTCTCTTCCGTCCTGGAGCCTTTGAGAGCAGCCATGGAAATCTCCTTCGTGGGTTGATGGATGAACAAATCGCCAATGCTTCAAGCCCCCGTCGCCAAAGTCCAGGTGCGAAGACCGAAGACCAGAACACCTTAGACCTGTTCGGCCGCTTCGTCTAATTGCCGGAATCAATGCATGGAATTGATAAAAGCTATAAATACGTAAGCATTAATAACAATCGTCAATTACAAGCCGTGCCCTCATAGCGCTTTTGCGCTGGAGAGCCGAGGGTTGCCCTTCTCATAATTACGTTATGGTAGATTGATTACGAATAGGTAAACAAGACAAGAGGCGCAGCCCATGCCCGAGACAATACAAACCCACGACAAGCTGCCCGCCGCGCTGGCCGCCGCTTTCACCAACGGTTATGAATTCGCCCAGGGCGCGGGCTACCCCCTGCCCGAATACCCCTTTGTCGAACCGCCGGAACTGCGCACGGGTGAGGTCAAACGCCACGCCGTCGCCATCGTGGGCGGCGGCATCACCGGGCTGACGCTGGCGTGTGCGCTGGCGCAGTACGGCATCAAAGCCGTGCTGCTGGATGAGGACAACACCGTGGGCGTCAAAGGCGCCTCCTCGCGCGGCATCTGCTATGCGCAAAAAAGCCTGGAGATCTTCAAGCGCCTGGGCATTTACGAACGCATCGCGGCCAGGGGCGTGCAGTGGAGCGTGGGCCGCACCTTCGCGGGCGCCGATGAGGTCTACGCCTTTGACCTGCGCCAGCAGCAGACGCATTCGCTGAGCCGCCAGCCGCCCTTTATCAATATCCAGCAGTTTTATGTCGAGGGTTTCCTGGTCGAGCAGCTGTACAGTCCCGCGCCCGAAGATCGCCTGGTCGACATTCGCTGGAACCACCGTGTCACCAGCTTCGAACAGAACCAGGACTTCGCGACGCTGCGGCTGGAAACGCCGGCCGGTCCTTACACCCTGGAGGCGGAGCACGTGATCGATTGCAGCGGCTCGCGCAGCCCGTTTCGCGCCTGGTGCGGCGCCACGGTGACGGCGCAGCAGGGCGACGACCGCTGGTGCATTGCCGACGTGCGCTTCAAGAACCCGCCACCGGTGGAGCGCCACACCTGGATAGAGGCGCCGTTTAACGAAGGCCGGGCCGTCTGGCAGCACCTGATGGCCGACGGCGTCTGGCGCATCGACTACCAGATGCCGCCGCACGCCAAGGCCGAAGAGGTCAGCCGCGAGGACGTGGTGCGTGCCCGCCTGAAGGCACAGTTCAAGAGCCAGGCCGGCCAACTGCTGGACGACGGCGACTACGAGATCGTCTGGGTCGGCCCCTATGCCTACCGCAGCGAATGCCTGGACAGCCTGCGCCACGGCCGCGTGTTTTTTGCCGGCGACGCGGCCCATGTGATGAGCCCCTTCGGCGCGCGCGGCGGCAACTCGGGCGTGCAGGACGCCGACAACCTGGCCTGGAAGCTGGCCGCCGTGCTGCAGGGCCGCGCCGCGCCCGCCCTGCTGGGCAGCTACCACCACGAGCGGCACGAGGCGGCCACGCACAACGTATTGGTCACCAACCGCACGGCGCGCTTTTTGCGGCCTGCCGATGGCGCCGAGCGGCTGTTCCGCACCGCGGCGCTGGGCCTGGCGCGTGAGCACGTATTTGCCCGGCAGCTCGTCAACACCGGGCGCATGTCGACGCCGAATCACTACACACGCTCGGGCGCCTGTGGCCGCTCCGGCGGGCGCGCGACACAGAACGTGGGATTTACCTGGCCGGGCGGCCGCCCCGGCGAGCTGCTGGAGCTGCTGGCCTGGACCCAGGGCCGCTTGCTGTTGCTGGCCTTTGGCGATGTCTCCCCCGCCGCGCTGGCGCGCCTGGCGGCGCTGTCGGTGGAGGCCGGCATACGCTGCGTGCAGGTGGTCGGCCCCGGCGAGAAAGCCGCGGCCCTGGAACACGTCATCGACGACCAGGGCCACCTGCAGGCGACCTGCCACGTCTTCGGCCATGCCTGGGCGCTGCTGCGACCCGACGGCCACGTGGCGGCCACCGGCGAAAGCGTGGACGCCTCGCTGGTCCACGCGGTGGCCGCCGCGCTGGGCGCCGGCGCCCCTACCGGAAAGGAGACCGCATGAAACCCGACAGCCCCCTGAGCACACGCCTGCATTTCCAGGACGCGGACGCGTTTTACGAGTGCCTGCTGGACGCCCACCAGGGCCTGAGCCGCGAGGAATCCGAGTTGCTCAATGCCCGGCTGATCCTGCTGATGGCCAACCAGCTGGGCGACACCGCGGTGCTGCGGGCCTGTATTGCGGCCGCAAAGACATCGGGTCCGCCAGGGCGTACGGGCTAAAGCAGGTCCCGGGCCTTCCAGTCGAATAAAATCAGGGCAGTTTCCCCCAACCCCAAGGCGGCATCCCCTCGATGCCGTTTTTCATTGCCCCCATGACCAACGCTGCCGCCCCCGCCCTTGCCGATACCGCCACCCCCGCCGCGGAGGCTGTCAAAGTCCCGACACCGGGGCTGGACAGCCTGGCCAAATCCTTCGAGCCGGCCGCCATTGAGAGCCGCTGGGGCCCCGAATGGGAGCAAAGCGGCCAGTACGAACCCACGCTGGACGCGGCCAAGCCCTCGTTCTCCATCCAGCTGCCGCCGCCCAACGTGACGGGCACGCTGCACATGGGCCACGCCTTCAACCAGACCATCATGGATTCGCTCACGCGCTACCACCGCATGCGCGGCCACAACACGCTGTGGGTGCCCGGCACCGACCACGCCGGCATCGCCACGCAGATCGTGGTGGAGCGCAAGCTGCAGGGCGAAGGCAAAAGCCGCCACGACCTGGGCCGCAAGAACTTCGTCGCCAAGGTCTGGGAGTGGAAGGAAGAGTCCGGCACCACCATCACGCGCCAAATGCGCCGCATGGGCGACTCGGTGGCCTGGAAGCACGAGTACTTCACCATGGACCCGAAGATGTCCACGGTGGTCACCTCGACCTTTGTGCAGCTCTATGAGCAGGGCCTGATCTACCGCGGCAAGCGCCTCGTGAACTGGGACCCGATCCTCAAGTCCGCCGTGTCCGACCTGGAAGTCGAGAACGAAGAGCGCGACAGCTTCATGTGGCACATCGAGTACCCCTTCAGCGACGGCCCGCAAAAAGCGGCTGACGGCTCGCCGCTGCGCGGCATGCACATCGCCACCACCCGGCCCGAAACCATGCTGGCCGACGGCGCGCTGGCCGTGCACCCGGACGACGAGCGCTACAAACACCTGGTCGGCAAGATGGTCGACCTGCCGCTGTGCGACCGCAAGATCCCGGTGATCACCGACGACTACGTGGATCCGGCCTTCGGTAGCGGCGTGGTGAAGATCACCGGCGCGCACGACTTCAACGACTACCAGGTGGCGCTGCGCCACGACCTGCCGCTGATCACCATCTTCACGCTGGACGCCAAGATCAATGAAAACGGCCCGGTGCAATACCAGGGCCTGGACCGCTACGACTGCCGCAAGGCCGTGCTCAAGGACCTTGAGGAACAGGGCTTCCTCGAAAAAGCCGTGCCGCACAAAAACATGGTGCCGGTCTGCGCGCGCACCGGCGCGGTGGTCGAGCCCATGCTGACCGACCAGTGGTTTGTCGCGCTGAGCAAGGTCAGCGACAAAGACCCGACGGGCAAATCGATTGCGCAGAAGGCGCGCGACGCCGTGAGCAGCGGCGAGGTCAAGTTTGTGCCTGAGCAATGGGTCAACACCTACAACCAGTGGATGAACAACATCCAGGACTGGTGCATCTCGCGCCAGCTCTGGTGGGGCCACCAGATCCCGGCCTGGTACGACGAAGACGGCAAGGTCTATGTCGCCACCAGCGAGGAAGAAGCGCAGAAGCAGGCGCCCGGCAAAAAACTCACGCGCGACGAAGACGTGCTGGACACCTGGTACTCGTCGGCGCTGGTGCCTTTCTCCTCCCTCGGCTGGCCCGAGAAGACAAAAGAGCTTTCCCTGTTCCTGCCGTCCAGCGTGCTGGTCACCGGTTACGACATCATCTTTTTCTGGGTCGCCCGGATGATCATGATGACCACGCACTTCACCGGCCAGGTGCCGTTCAAGGACGTGTACATCCACGGCCTGGTGAAAGACGCGCAGGGCAAGAAGATGAGCAAGTCCGAAGGCAATGTGCTGGACCCGGTCGACCTGATCGACGGCATCGAGCTCGCCCCCCTGCTCGAAAAACGCTCGCAAGGCCTGCGCAAGCCCGAGACCGCGCCGCAGGTGCGCAAGAACACCGAAAAGGAATTCCCCGCCGGCATTCCAGGCTACGGCGCCGATGCGCTGCGTTTCACCTTCGCCTCGCTGGCCAGCCTGGGCCGCAGCATCAACTTCGACAGCAAGCGCTGCGAGGGCTACCGCAACTTCTGCAACAAGCTCTGGAACGCTACGCGCTTCACGCTGATGAACTGCGAAGGCCAGGACTGCGGGCTCGAAGAGCACAGCAAGGAGCAATGCGCGCCCGGCGGCGAGTTCCACAACTACCTGAGCTTCTCGCAGGCCGACCGCTGGATCTCATCGACCATGCAGCGCGTCGAAGCCGACGTCGCCAAGGGCTTTGCCGACTACCGCCTCGACAACGTCGCCGGCAGCATTTACCAATTCGTCTGGGACGAGTTCTGCGACTGGTACCTGGAAATCGCCAAGGTGCAGATCCAGACCGGCAACGACGCGCAAAAGCGCGCCACGCGCCGCACCCTGATCCGCACGCTGGAAGCCATCCTGCGCCTGTCGCACCCGCTGATCCCTTTCATCACCGAAGAGCTGTGGCAGACCGTGGCGCCCATCGCCGGCAAGACCGGCAAGTTCATCGGTGTCGCGCCTTATCCGCAAAGCCAGCCCGAGAAAATCGATGAAAAAGCAGAAGAATATGCAGGAAAGATTAAAGAGCTGGTGGAAAAATGCCGCGCGCTCCGCGGTGAATTAAAAGTCTCTCCAGCCGTTCGGCTCCCGCTTTATGTGGTGGGTGATGCTGAGTTCATGACTGCGGTGGCCCCCGTTCTGAAATCATTGGCAAAGCTGAGCGAAGTACGCGTGTTCGATCACGAGCTGGTCTGGGCCGAGGTCATCACGTCACCAACCGGCGCGGCACCGATAGCTGAAGTGGGAAATATCCGGATATGCCTCTATATGGAAGTCGACGTGGCCGCCGAGAAAGCCCGCCTGGGCAAGGAGGCCACGCGCCTCGAAGGCGAACTGGTCAAGGTCAACGCCAAGCTCGCCAACGAAGCCTTTGTGAACAAGGTGCCGCCGGCAGTGCTGGAGCAGGAGAAAAAGCGCCTGGCCGACTTCACCGCGACGCTCGCCAAAATCCGCGAGCAGCTGGCACGCTTGAAATAGAGCCGGAAAACCGCCCACAAAAAAGCCCCGGTCAACGGGGCTTTCTTTATGGCGGCCGCGTGTTCAGCGGATCATGAATTCGGGCTCCGACCATTGAGATGGGGAAACCCCTCCCGGCAACTCCAGGTCCATGGGCGAACTGGGCAACTGGTCCATGCCGCTGTGCGTTGTTGTGCCTATGGCTTCATGCATGCGGTGCGCCACATACCAGCTCGAGCGCAGGCGTGCCTCGCGTGTGTGCGAGCCCAGGCGGGGCGTGACGAACAGGTTCTTGAGGCCCTTGAGCGGCGAGGTATCGCCCAGGAAGCTGGCTTCGGCGCCGTCCAGGATGCAGGCCTCGATGCGGCCGTCGCACAGCGCCGCGGCCAGCGCGGTCTCGTCAAACAGTTCGCTGCGGCTGATGCCCACCCACAGCTGGTTGCGCCGGCAGGCGGCCAGCAGTTTTTCATTCACAAAGCCGCGGAAACGCGTGGCGTAAAGCATCTGCACCGAGACCGCGTCGGCCTGGCTGACCAGTTCGGGCAGGGACACTGGCTGTATGCGCAGGCGCTCCCAGATGGGCGCCGTGTGGTGCACCGCCGGGTCGTAGCCTATGAGGCGCACGCCCAGGCCGCTCAGCATGCCGGCCAGCGTGTGCGCCGTCGGCGCCAGGCCCAGGATGCCCACGGTGCTGCCGTGCAGTTCGCGCCCCATCTGCGTCGTCGGGTGGCGGCGTCCCATCAGGGCCGAAACCAGGCCGCGGCGGTAGAGCAGCAGCAGGCTGCTGAGCAGGTATTCGGCATTGGAGCGCACGTTGGCGCTGCTGGCATGCACGACCTTGATGTCGCGCTCCTTGCAGGCTTCGAGGTCGGTGTTGTCCGTGCCCACATGCAGGCGGCCCACGGCCTTGATCTTGGGCAGGAAGTCGAGGAATTCACGCGTGACCACGGTCTGCCGCGGAAATACGATACCCTTGGTCTTGTAGGCGATCTTGCGCAGGGAAGCCAGGTCGTCGGCGAGCTCGGGGTGGTAGCCCACGCTGTGGCGGGTCTCCAGCCAGGCCATGGCCTCGGGCACCAGCGCGTCAAGAAGTAAGATGTCCACCCAGTGAGTCCTTTTTCCTGCAGACCGCAATTTGCGCGGTTTGACCACGTCAAGTCGGGCGTTTGTCCGACCTGAATCGATGTATCAACAACGCAACACTCTAGTCTTTTCCCCGATCAAAGTCGATGCAAAAATTTACATTACACAAAGCAGTGTTCCCGGTAGCCGGTCTCGGCACCCGGTTTCTACCGGCCACCAAGGCCCAGCCCAAGGAAATGCTCCCCGTCGTCGACAAGCCCTTGATCCAGTACGCGGTCGAAGAGGCTTACGCGGCAGGCATCCGCCACATGATTTTTGTGACAGGACGCAATAAACGGGCCATAGAAGACCACTTTGATACTGCTTACGAGCTTGAGAACGAGCTTGAGGTAGCCCAAAAGCACAAGCTCCTGGACCTGGTGCGCTCCGTCCAGCCCGACGATATGAACTTTTCCTATGTGCGCCAGCCCCGTTCCCTGGGCCTGGGCCATGCGGTGCTGTGCGCCGAGCACCTGGTCGGCCAGGAGGCTTTTGCCGTGCTGCTGGCCGATGACCTGATGGTCGGCCCCCAGGGCGGCAAATCCGTGCTGGCCCAGATGGCCGAGCAGTTCAAGGAAGTGCAGCAGTCCATCCTGGCGGTGCAGGAAGTGCCGCAGGACCAGACCCGCCGCTACGGCATCGTCGCCACCGACGGCGCCGTCAGCAAAGGCCTGATGAAAGTCCAGAAAATCGTCGAAAAACCCGCGCCCGAGGTGGCCCCGTCGCGCATGGGCGTTGCCGGCCGTTACATCCTGACGCCGGCCATCTTTGAGCACATCCGCAGCCAGAAGGCCGGTGTGGGCGGCGAGCTGCAGCTCACCGACGGCATTTCAAGCCTGCTGGACAAAGAAACCGTTTATGCCCTGCAGTACGAGGGTAAACGCTATGACTGCGGCAGCAAGGAAGGTTTTCTTGAAGCCACCGTTGAGTTGGCTTTGCAGCACCCCGAGGTGGGCGTGCACTTCCGCAACTACCTCGACAACCTGCAGATCGGCTGGTCGGGCCGGGAACGCCGCAAGCAGGCTTGAGCGCCTGGCGGCTTGGTGGTCAAGCGGCTTAGCGCCGTTTGAGCACGTGGATAAAGTCGCTGCCGGCGACCTGCTGCTCGACCAACTCATTGCCGGTCTGCTTGGCAAAGGCCTGGAAATCCCGGGTCGAGCCCGAATCGGTGGACACCACACGCAGCAACTGGCCGCTCAGCATTTCCGTCAGCGCCTTTTTGGCTTTCAGGATGGGCAGCGGGCAGTTCAGGCCGCGGGTGTCGAGTTCTTTGTCGATGTTCATGAAAATCCTTGGGTTGCCGCGATTTTAAGCAAAGCGCAAAAGCCCTTCACCGGGCCTTACCCGAGTCGGCGACCTATTCCGTCCTCTTCGCCCATTCCACGAATTCCGGCTCATGCCCCCGCGTGCGCAGCCAGTCGGCCAGCGCATAGCCGGTGCCCGCCGGCCAGCATTTGAGCTTGTCCAGGTCATAAAGCCGGTAATCCACCAGCTCGGGCGACAGGCTCACCTCCCCCGTGCAGACCGCGTGGTAGGCGATGATGATCTGGTTCATGCGCTGGAAGTCGTAGACGCCTATCAGGTCCAGCGAGCTGGTTTCCAGGTTGGTTTCTTCCTTGATTTCGCGCTCTATGCCGCCCTGCGGCGTCTCGCCCGCCTCCATAAAACCCGTGATCAGCGCATACATCTTGCCCGGCCAGGCCGCGTTGCGCGCCAGCAGCACCTGGCCGTGGTATTCGATCACCGCGGCCAGCACCGGCGTCGGGTTGTTCCAGTGGGTAAAACCGCAGGCCGGGCAGCGCAGCCGCGCTTTCTCGCCGCCGTCTTCCATTTGCGACACCATGGCCAGTGGCGTCGCGCAGTTCGGGCAAAACCGGAATTCATGGGTCATGGTGGGGCTCAGGATGAGAAGGAAAACAAAAGAAAAGAAGCGCGCCCGCCAGTGAGGGCTATCAGCTTCGAACGCGCATCAGATGGAGGCTAGACCTAGGCGGCCCTCAAGCCGGAAACACGCCGGTCGACAGGTAACGGTCGCCCCGGTCGCAGACCACAAACACGATCACCGCGTTCTGGACGGTCTTGGCGATCTCCTGCGCCACCCAGAGGGCGCCCGCGGCCGAGATCCCGGCAAAGATGCCTTCCTCGCGCGCCATGCGCCGGCACATGTCTTCGGCATCGGCCTGGCTCACCAGCACCAGCTCATCGACCTGGCGCGGGTCATAAATCTTGGGCAGGTATTCCTGCGGCCATTTGCGGATTCCGGGGATGCGCGAACCCTCGCTGGGCTGGGCGCCAATCACCCTGATGGCCGGGTTTTTCTCTTTCAGGTAGCGCGAAACCCCGGTAATCGTGCCCGTCGTGCCCATGGCGCTGACAAAATGTGTCACCTTGCCTGACGTATCTGTCCATATTTCGGGCCCAGTGGTCTCGTAATGGATGCGCGGATTGTCGGCATTCGCGAACTGGTCCAGCACCCGGCCCTTGCCCTCTTTCTGCATCTGGTCGGCCAGGTCGCGCGAGTATTCAATGCCCGCGCTTTTGGGCGTCAGGATCAGTTCGGCGCCAAAAGCCTTCATGGTCTGGGCCCGCTCGATGCTCAGGTCCTCCGGCATGATCAAAACCATCTTGTAGCCCTTGATCGCGGCCGCCATGGCTAGGGCAATACCCGTATTGCCCGAAGTGGCTTCAATCAGCGTGTCGCCCGGCTTGATGTCGCCACGCTCCTCGGCCCGCTTGATCATCGAGAGCGCCGGCCTGTCTTTCACCGAGCCGGCGGGGTTGTTGCCTTCAAGCTTGCCGAGGATCACATTACCGCGTGCGGCGTTCTCGGCGGCATGGATGCGTTGCAGCGCGACCAGAGGCGTTTTGCCAATCGCGTCTTCAAGGGTGGGATAGTTCATGACCACACTGTGCCATAATTTGAGGCTTCGCTCATTCCAGCCCGGGTGGTGAAATTGGTAGACGCAGGGGACTCAAAATCCCCCGCCGAAAGGCGTGCCGGTTCGATTCCGGCCCCGGGCACCATGGCTTCTTCTTGAGTCATGGGATTGAAGTTTGTCCGCTGGTGCTCCCGCTAGTGTCGCGACAACCTCTCCAGCATTCATATATGGCACACAGGTCCTTTGATGGCCGCCCGTGCTCGGTCACCCGCCCGCCAAACCTACATTAACGCGCCTAGCCCTTTAGTTCGCAGGGCTTAAGGGCCGCCTCGCTTACCGAATCAAGTTCACGGCATCTTTTGCGGCCTTCAATACAGTGCTCCACTCTGGAAGGTTAATGTATTCAGCATCCGACAACTTTGTCCCATATCGTTGAAGAACTCTCTCTATGGCTTCAACCAGTCTTGAGATTTCAGCCGCCTCTTCATCGTTGCGCAGTATCCATCCGATTGTCGAGACCGGGTCGGCCGCCAACCGCGTATCGTCATATAAGTAATGGACGGCATTGTCAAACTCATCGTGGACTACATCCCCCTCTGAACTACCGAGCACCCAGACTCTTCGTTGGTAGTCAATATCGGAGAGCGCATTTAGATGCTGAATCAACTCAGTTCGCATTTCTGGATATCTAATATCAGTCATGGTTTGTTCCACCTACGCCAGTTCTTATATTCACTCAGCGGAATATGAGACTCCGGATTTTCTTTAATACTGCCTTTAATTGGCTGACCGTCACGACCGATAACGTTCCCCTCATCACGAACAATAACGTGATCGACCTGTTGACTAGGGTGGCTGCTGTTTGGATCACCAGCATCAACTCGAACGCCGCTGCCCTGGTCGTTAGGATCCTGCCAACGATTTCCCTCCTTTTTACGATTGGGCTTGCCTTCACCCCATTCAGGTGGAAGCTTATCGGTAACCTCTGGAGGTATGGTGAATTCCCCCTCGCTTCGCATCCCATCCTTAAACCGGTCCTTGAGCCGCTCAGCTGAATCAACACATTGTTGAATTTTCCTTTGCATCTTCTCCAGGCACCCCGGAATAGCCTGACATATTACGTAACCGGCTCCGACCGTTACCGGTACCAACGCCACAGCGGGATTGAATAAGCCTTCCGGATCGGTATATCTAAGAGGGCTACTGCCGACATAGGCAAAGGTATTGATACCACCTCGAAGTCCAATCGGATCGGACTGCATATAACGCCCGATGCGTGGGTTGTACTCCCGATTCCGGTTCTGGAACAGGCCGCTTTCGGCATCAAAGATCTGACCGGGTAGTCGCTGATTAAAAGTAAAGGTTCCGAGGCCTGCAGGGTTTTGGTCTGGTGCCGTCGCACCAAATGCCTCGGCTGAATCCCAGCGCCAAGCAATGGCTTCGTCCGATTGCCGCGTGATGATTCGCGGCGCACCAAGCTGATCCGTCGAGACGTTGTAAAGGTTGATTGAGATGTCGCCGGTCCCCGCCGTGCCACTCTGCTTTACCACGCCAACCGGACCTCCCAGATATATGGTTTCGTAGATAGGAGCCCCGTTGGCGTCATATTCGCCGAGCAATTGGCCCGACTCATCATAGACATAGTAAGCCGCACCGTTTGGCACCAACGCCGTTGGCCCAGTCTTGCTAACCCGCATCTCCAGCGCGTTGTAGCTGTAGCTGACCGTGCCACCGGCATTCGTCATGGTTGCGAGTCGCCCCCGGTCGCTGTAGATATAGGTGTTCAGCCCATCGCCCGTGATATTGCCGGCCGCATCATGCACGACAGTCGCCGTACCACTCACGTCCTGGGTCTGAGTCAGCTTGTTGCTGGTGGCAGAGATGATGTTGGGGTAGCTCGTGCCACTCACGACTTTTGCCGTCCGGTTGCCCGTGGCGTCATAGCTGTACTGGATTGACGTGGCGCCAAGGGCCGCGCTGATCAGGCGGTTCAGGTTGTCATAGCCAAAGCTTTGGTCCAGAGCAGGAGCGGCTACGCCGTTGCTGACGTGCGTGTAGCCGGTGATGCGGCCAGCACTGTCGCGAAGGATGGTGCGGCGGATACCGGTGCTTGTCGGGTCACCGAGGTTGTAGGCACTTACCTGGCCGTTATTGTCATATGCAATTGCCTGGGTCTTGGCGCTGGCCCAAGCCCAACCGGTACGCTTGCTTTCGGCATTGGTGGTGATGCCCGATAGCAGCGGCAATGTGGAACCGGTATTGGTACCCACGCCATTGGCGTTCGGCGGGTTCACGGTGATGCCGGAAACATCGCCGTAGCTGTCATAGCTGTAATTAACGCGGGTTCCGCTGGGGTAGGTGATGGCCGTGAGCTTATCCAGCGCGCTTCCGCTATCACCCCAGCTGTAGCCGACGGTAAATGTTCTCGCACCCGTGGTCTGAACCTTGGACGTCTTGCGGCTCATGCTGTCGTAGGTGTAGACAGCCTGGCCGCTCGCGTCGGTGATCTTCGTGAGATGGCCTATGGCGCCCTGGACCGGGGTGCTACCGCCGTCGTATTCAAAGACGCTCCCTGTACCCGTGGGGTAGCTGATGGTTTTGAGGCGATTTTCGGCGTCGTAGGTGTACTGGGTCAGCTTGCCGCGGGCATCGGTCTTGGTGAGCAGATTGCCGAGCGCGTCGTAGGTGTACTGGCTGGCGCCCGTGTCCGGGCTGGTCTGGGCTGTGACATCGCCCAGCCCGTTAGGGTTGTAGGTCGTCGCCAGGTTGCGCGGGTCGGTGACCTGGGTCAGGCCGTCGGCGGCGTTGTAGGCAAAGCTGGTGGTCGTCGGTGTCGCGCTTCCGGTGTTGGCCGGCTGCTGGGTCTGGATGGGCCGGCCCAGGCTGTCGTAGTAGGTGTAGCTGGCCAGGCCATTGGGGTCCAGCACGGTGGTGGGCCTGCCCATGGCGTCGTAGCCGTATTGCCACACCATGGGGCCTGCGGTGGCGGCGTTGATGACGACGCTGATGCCGGTGGAGGTGGACGGGTCGTTGTTCGTGTCGCCGGCGTAGTCGGCGCTCAGGGTGTGGCTGCCCAGGGCCAGGGCGCTGGTGTTCAGGCTGGCAACACCGGCCGTGACGGCTCCGCTGCCAATGGTCGCACCACCGTCCTTGAAGGTGACGGTGCCCGTCGGGCTGGCGCCTGTGACGGTCGCCGTCAGCGTGATGCTTTGTCCGAGCGCGGCCGTGCCGGCGCTGCTGCTAAGCGCCGTGGTCGTCGGGGTGGCGGCAAGTACCAGGGCCGGGGCCAGGGCGATGAGCAACACCAGGCGGCTTAGCCACACGGTGAAAGCTCGGGTGGGGCTAAGGCTGCGCATGCGGACTCCTCGTTGGACAGTGGTTGTTGTGATGGTGTTCAATTGCTCGCTCCCGTGACTTGTTGCACGCGGTTCAGGGCGTCATAGACGCGCGTGATATTTCTTTGCAGGTTGCCTGAGGGGTCCTTGACCTGCTCACCGGTCTTGTTGCCGGTGTTGTCAAGGGTGTAGGTAACGGAGTTGCCTTTGGCGTCAGTGACGCCGGTCAGGCGATGGGCCGCGTCGTAGCTGTAGCCCAGGGTTGTGCCGTCGGGCAAAGTGGCGCCCGTCATCTGGCCTGCGTTGTCGTAGGTATAGGTGGTCGTCCGGGCCGTACCGCCTGGCGGCGTCACCGTCACGCTGCTGGTCCAGCCGCGCGGGGTGTAGATGGTGTCGGTGACCACGCCATTGGGGTCGACCATCTGGCGCACGCGCCCTGCCCTGTCATACAGCGTGAACTGGGTGACATGGCCGGTGGGGCTGGTGACGGTCTGCAGGTCGCCGGCCGCGTGGCCGGTTTCATTCGGCGCGGTGCCGCTGAAGGCGGCCGCCGTGTAGTAGGCGTAGGTCGTGGTGCGGTTCAGCGTGTCCTTGGCGGTCAGCACGCGGCCGGCGGCGTCATAGGTGTACTGGGTGGTGACGATGGAGGTGTCGACCGGCACGCTTGCGACGTTTGGCGCGGGGTAGGCCGAAGGCGTGAAGGCGGCCGTGTAGCGCCCCTGCCCCTTGGTGATCCGGATGTCGTCGTAATAAACGGGGTTGGACGAGTTGTTGTAGCCGAACACCATGCCGTTGGTATTGCCGACGGTGCTGGTCCAGGCGCAGTTCCCCGTCTGCTGGCCGTTGACATAGCTGTACAGGGTACCGCCAATCTTCACCCAGGCCACATGAATCCAGGTATTGGACAAGTTGTTCAGGCCACCCGTCTGGCAGTAAGGTCCGTCACTGCCCTGCAGCACGAGGTAGTTGCCGGCAAAAGCGATGTCGTGATAGACCGCGCCGCCACCGCCAAGCCGCACGGCGATCGCACTGGCCGTTACGCTGGCGGGTTTCATCCAGAACTCCACCGTGAAGTCTCCGGGCAATGAAAAGTCGCCGGCAACGACACCGCGATCCCCGTAGTCGGCCGACCCGGGAACATAAAAGGACGATCCACCAAATTTGCTGTGTGTGGTACTGACCTGTGCATTCCTGATGAGCGTGCCTGTAGCCGCTCGCGGGCTGCTGTCCACAATAGTCTTGGACCCGTGGGCGCCGTCGGCGTGCAGCAGCAGTATGTTTTTGGCGTAGTGGGCATCCGCTACCTTGGGCTGTGCCGGGTTGAGGTCCACGGGATCGCCAAACTGCTGGGCCGGCGGCGTGAAGGCGGCGCCATACCGCGCAACACCGTTCGTGACGCGGAATTCATCGAGGTAGCCGTTCAGGGTACCGAAGGTCGTGTAGGTGTAGCGCCCCAGTTCAATGCGCCCATAGTTCAATGCATCCGAATTGTTGAACAACACGGCAGCACCGGCCTGCACACCGTCCAGGTGCATGACCCAGGTGCCGTTGCTGCGGCTCAGCGCCACGTGATGCCACACGTCGGGCGAGATCACGGGGCCGCTGATGGAGCCGCCACCTGACCAGTTCGCAAAAAGATCTCCGCCCCCACCAACGGCAACATAACCGAAGGGCTCCCCACGATCA